GAATATCAGCCCGCGGAAATACGTAAACAGTTGAGATGGAAAAGAAGAATGTTAGTCGTTAGAAACTTGATCCAGACTGGCTTCTTTCTTTTCTTGCATTCTCCCCGGAGGCTGAAAGGGTCCTTTACTTTTTTTCCTTTCGGAAAGGTTAGTGGGAGGCTAGTTGTTAGTGGTGCTCCGAGTTGTGGATGGGGACAAAAAGCATGGTGTGGTTTTATCTGCGCCAGTGGGGTACTAGTTTGGCTGCTGCTACTGGTAGCGGAGCACGGTAACGGCGTTGGCTTTGTGGACCTGGAGTGTAAATCGTACGAGAGAGAGAGACATGTGAGGAGTGTCAGGATAGGCTGGGGAACCATATGTCGGAGACTCCCGATCGACATATTCTTCTTTCGCTACAGATGCGAATCGGCCAAAACCACTCCTTGCCGATTCTATAAGCGCTTTTCTTTGCCGATCCGAGGGACACGCATCGTTTCCGTACCGTGTTCTTGCTCTTGACCGCATGTCTCGCGGGTTCGGCAAGACTCGGTGTACCTGCAGTATCCCATCCCACCGCACATGTTAGCTGGTGACCATATTGACGATAACGGTCTTCGGAATAGTAAGTGATTGTGTAGTGGTGCGCTTAACGCGTCAAGTCGATGAAGCTAGTCAACAACATGGGTGTAGAGAAGACAGGTCGCACCCCGTAGCGTTGCACACTTGGCATGGGCGAACGATGGCCGACACTCCTTCATGCCCAATGCCCTGTGCTGATGACCGATCATGCAGCCTTGCGTAGGGTACCAACTTCATGGGTTTTGGGTGTCGTTTTCACTGTCCGAACGAGCAAAAGGCAAACATGGTCATATCGGTAGGCGCTTGGCCCGGAAAGCGTTTCCTTGTAGGATGTGCAAAGGGAGCACATTTCTAGCTGTCATGCTATTCAAGGCCGTACAGCAGACGATGAAACTGACCGAACGAGTGATTTACTCAATGGGTAATAAAGTGCATGTACGCATACACTTCGGAACGCCCGCCACCTGCCAGTTCCACGCTCCTTCTCTTTGTGCGCAGTTCCAGGCATGGAACAATGGGCTGTCGCTTGCTGCTCGTTGCCGATTATACCACATGCCTTTCCCGGCCCATGATTTACGTATGTACTGGAAATGGCCGGTGTCTCGGATACGGGAAGGCGGTAGAGCCAATACCTTCAGTCGTACGTGTGGGGGATGTAGCGAGCTCAAACGCAGTGGTACACGTACATGGCACAAAGGTATGAGTTCTTCTGCAGCCAGCCATATGAGATGATGATTGTACTACCCGAGCAATCGATGATGGCTTTTGTAGAAAGAGCAATTCTTAGCATACGGCGGGGCCGGACACACGCTGACAGTTGGCACTACGCTGTGCCAGGTGTGGGGGATTTGTGCCATGACTGATCAACGATGTGATATTCTCGTAAAATGTTACTCTAACGTGGCTGAGAAGACTGAGCGGTGACTTGAGGCAGGCTGTGTAACCATCATGTGCCATTTGCATGTTTCCTTGTGTAGCAAACAAAATGTAAGCCTCTCGACCTAGGCGAAGCATGGTGATCTACGTACGACTACGAGCAGGGCAAGGTGTTTGGCATGAGCCGCCCACGAGACATTGCATGGTGCGATTGTTCAGTGCCTGATCCAGAGAATTGCTAGATTTCGTCGAAACATGGTAGAGGACGAGCTTCGACTATGCTCATGTCAACTTGGCTGCTAGGCACAGTACCACTTGCTTGTAGCACATGCACAGCCGCACAACCGCACAACCGCACAACCATGCACATGTGCTGTCAAAGTGTCAGCCTTGATGAAGGGATGATTCACGGGATGAGGCCGTGCCCCGAATTCAAAAGGAAAGCCTAGTGCTTGGTGTCTAGGCTCCAAAGCACAGCACAGATGCCATCTACAAGATCAGTATGCGGACCCGACCAGCCGGGCACGTGTACATACAGACGATGGCTTCCCGTATTACTGTGACACGGGGGCAAACAGCCACGAAGCTTACTGTGCAAGGCTCAGTCCTTACTTTTGAGCAAAGGTAGCAATCCCTAGTCAAAAAGAAGGTGTCCGGTGTGCGGCCTGCCACGTCCCAAAGGACACACTTGCGAGGATTGACCCGCCAGCAGCCGCGTGACAAGAAGCGAGGCACACACTGATGGATCTTGCTTTGACCAAAAGAAGCAAAATGAGGCGTTTTTGTGGCTGGGACAAGGCAGCCTGAATGGGAGGGACAATGGAAAGTCGTTACGAACAGGCGGCGGCTTCGGAAAAAATCAAGGATATGCAAGCACGGTAAGGGACACATGGGATGTCTAGGCGAGTGGCGATGAATCGTGTTAGTCTCCAGCGGTTAACCAAGGATGAGTGGAGCGAGTCTCAACGCCTTCTAGGGTTTGTTTCGTAGACATGGATTCGAAATTACGAGCTGATGGAAGCAGGTGTAGATCCTGAGCCGTTGCCGGGGCCAGGCCATTCCTTCGGATCGTGGCATCGTCGTTTTGGGTGACATTGCTGTTGCTCGGTGAGCGAGCGTCAGAGACAAAAGTGGATGCCTGTAGACGTGTGTGTGTGAGTATGTATTCATCCAACGAATCAATACATGATGCCTTGATCGGGACAATATCTGTGCACTTGATTTCGGCAAATTAGCGATATAAGCTGTAAAAGTCATGGCCGGATTTGCACAGCTGGCTCCATAGGATTGGGGAGCACACAGAAAGGGTGCATGGGCAGACGTCGACGGTGGCTGCGAGATGATTTGCGATGATGCAAAAGGATGAGATTGAGGCATTTCTTCGTATGGGCTAGCGGCAGAAGGAACAAGAGGCTGCCTGGTGAATGGACTGGCAAGACTCACTTTTCCAGCCGCGCGGCTTGGCACCAGCTCTGCCTAGACACTTGCTGCCCATGACAGCCAGCCAGCTACTGTAGGCTGCACGTCAACCAACGGCGTTGCTGATATTGCAGGCCCGAGGCACGTGACGTACATTACTTTTTCTTCGTCATCCGCTCTCGCTTGCATGCATGGGGATTGGCTGCCGCCAAAACAAAAAAGTGATCTAACGGTGGCCCATCGCGATTCCGGTGACGCCCCCTCTGCAGGTCAAGGTACATGTAGGTAGATACACATCCACACACATCCACATCCACATGCGTATGTACATCCATACATACAGGCTTACATAGATTTCTACGCGACGCGCTATGTGGCCGAGAAGGACCGACAGCCGAGACGACACAAGGCCAACGGAGGCTGAGGAACGTTTGGTGGTTGATTCGGGAAACCATCCAGCCAGTCAGCCAGCCCAGCCAGCCATGGTGGGCAGCTGACCCGGCGTCAAGCATCAACGAGCAAGATAGAGAGACAAAGAGTCCCCCTTTGGCAACGACTGAGGGTTGCGAGGACTGAAACCTGCTCACTGTTTGCTGCCTACGTGTCGTTTTCATTCTTTTGCGGGTATTGAGTTGCAACAAGCATCAGGAATCAGGTGCTTGCGGACGATCATGCAGCTAGAGACTTGTCTTTATGAGTAGTAGTATGTATGTTTATCAGACATGAGTAAAGAGAATGTGTGTACACTGTTTGTTGCTGTTTTGACAAAAACGTCTTGACATGGGGGGGTTCAACATCGCGTGGCCTGAGCGGCGGCCGGTTGGGCGGCTGCTCTCTCTTTCCCAACAAACACCTGCTCCAAGGGTAAAAAAAAATAACAATCAAAGAGACCAGGGCGCCAAAGTCAAAAAACCACACAGCCAGAATCCAGCCCCAACCAAGGAGTCTCGATCCCGCAATGTAGTCATCAATCGCCCCACCACTGTCCCCTCAACACCTGCGTCTGATATCCGTTGACGGCCATCTGCGATTCATCCATTTGGACATGTGCGTTAAGCCTGTACGGGCCAAGGGGACAAGAAGAGGCGCAGCTTCGAGCCAATCATCTGGGACAGATCAAGACAGACTACTGCACACTTACATGGTCATCACGCAGAAGGTTATGTATGCACACCTCATGCCGTAGTGGAACCGGTGATTTGCTGTTGGCGCTAGGCCACTTGCATCCATGGCTATGGGGACTTGACAGATGCATACGGACGACGGCCGGGACGTGGAGCTTCGATGGTGGAGAGACTAGGGCCGTGGTTGGATGCCATTTTGATTTTGCACACTAGTTCATGTGTGCTTTGGGCTGGATGCAGAATCGTGGTGGGGAGGCTGCAGATTGATGCGTTGTGGCACCTTGACTCGAGTGGGCCGGATACGTGGGCTAGTGGTCATCGAGACCAGTCGTTGGCGACTACGACTGCGACAACAGGGTAGAGCTGGACATGAACAAATGTTGGATATCAAAAGAGATAGACACACATGTCACTACCAAGACTGTAGATGTGGGAGGAAGTGGCTTGCTTTTGGCTGGTCGCCTGCAACTATTGCTGCAGGCGCCATTGGGTATGTTTTTTTGTCATTTGGATATTTGCTCAAGGCAAATTGTGCTTGTCCTTCTTTTTGGGACCTACTAACGTACATTGTTGAGCTATTTGCTCTGGTATCTTTGATATGAAAAGTTAAATGAACGTAATAGAGCGAGGGCTTCGACGAGCCCAACGCTCAAACAGGGACAACTCCGAGAAATGCCCAAAAAACCCACTCCCTAACCCTTGCGGCAAAAGCCCATTGAAGTAGCCGAAGAAACAGACTCTATGCCATCAAGGCTGCTTGACAGAGTTAAACATGCTAAGCCATCGCGGCCAGAAAATTCTAATGTTGAAGACCAGAAATTTGCCCGTACTGGTCTAATTTTGTAACGCGGTGGGGAAAAAATAAGAAATAAAAGGAAAAACAAACCACCCCAACACCTAACGAGAAATCAATGGCTGTTCATCTCATCATGACTTTTCGAAAATAGTATAAACACATAGACAAGAAGCGTATTCGTAAGCAAAAAAGTCCATGGAAAAGGGGCCATGGAGGAGAAGAGCAGTCTAGTAGACGTGAACCGGGGCCATGATCGAAGGCTGGAAGGAGACGTGCTTGACCAGGTTGGCAGCCTGGATGAAAGGCTGGAACCAGGTGTTGGCGGGAGGCTGAGGAGAAACGTATTGTTGGGGTTGAGGAACGCGCGAAGAAAACTTGGGAAGCTGCGACTGCGAGACGTGGTACGACGAGTTGGAGGAAGCCGACGAGGCCGACGAGCAAGCAGAGAAGACGGACTCGCCGTCAGAGTTTGAGCTTCCCGAAGAGGTCGACGACTGGAAGGGCGATGGGGCGTAAGCTGAGCCAGGGAGAGGAGCAAACTGGGGAACGGCGGGAGTCTGGTAGTACTGGTTGTAGGCGGCATCCTGGGCGTAGTCGACTGGGCCAAAGGAAGGAGTGGGCATTGGCGAGGAAACGGCCGACTTGGTAGCTGTGAAGGACGAGCATCGCATGATCATGTCGCGGATCTCGGGAATGGTGGCTCGCTTGGCTGGGTTGAACTCAAACATGCGCCTCAGAACAGCATCGAGCTCGTCAGAGACGGGAAGAATGGTCTTGAGGAACTTGGGGTCCTTCATGAAGGCACGGAAAGTGCTGTCGTCAAATGAGGCGCGCTTCCATGGGTTGCGGCCGCATGTGAGGTTGACGAGCATGACACCAAGGCTCCAGACATCGTTGGGGGCCGATGCGTAGCATGAGTAAGGCTTGGGTGATGATGTCTGGCATTCTGTGCAAGGTTAGCACGTGACTTGTTGATTGTTGACGGTTGCATAATCCTACCTGGAGACATGTAAAAGGTCGAGCCGCAGCCAAAGTCCGAGGTAACGGGGTCAGTGGTGGCGAGTCCAAAATCGGCAAGCTTGCAGGTCATTCCTTGGTCAGTGACGAGAACGTTTTCCGGCTTGAGGTCCCTGTGGTAGATTCCAATGGAGTGGCAGTACTCGACGGCATCCAAAACCTGGAGAAAGGCGCGCTTGGCCATGGCATCATTACCAACGTATTTGCCCTGCTCGGTGATGTTTGAGAAGAGATCGCCCTCTGGGCAGTACTCAATCACCACATAGGTGCAGTCAGGCGCGTCCATGATCTTGACGAGCGAGACGACATTGGGGTGTGCGCTGGCCTGGTGGTGCAGCTGGATCTCACGCTGCTGGAACTTTCTTTGGCGAGGCTCAAGACCAACCTTGTTGAGCGCCTTTACGGCATAGGGAATGTTGGTCTGGATGTCGACGGCTGTGTAGACAACGCCGTAGGCTCCAACACCAAGGACGCCAGTCAGCTGGAGGCGTCCAGCCAGGACTTGGCCTAAGCGATCTTCCGGCGCGCAGAATCCATTTTGGGAGGGAGAAGCTGGGGGCGTCGGGTACATGTTAATGGTTGGGATGGAAGAGGTGAAGAGTCCTCGCAGGTCCAATCAAGGCCTCAAGGACAAAGTCAGCGGAGAGTCCGGGGAAATGCGGTAGAGTGGCCTTTGTCCGGAGGAAAGAGGCAACGAGAAAATCCTGGACGGAGGGCTCCGACTAGAAAGAAGACGCTATTATAAAGGATATGTGTTTTTTGGTGAGTCAACCGGAAGAGGCAAGTCACCTGACTTGTCTGATGGTGGTTGTGCAGAAACCTTTTTGGCAGGGAGCAGGAGCGAAAAGGTTTTTTGCGAAGGAATGTGATTGTGTGTGAGAGCGTGTGTGAAAAGGAGTTATAGTTGGTGTGAGGTAGAGGTAGAGGAGAGAGAGGGAGGAAGGGATTGTTTGTTGTTTGTTGTTGTGGAGGAGGTAGTGGTAAGTAGTCGGGGAGGAGGGTGTGTATGTAAAGTGTGAGGCGGGATATGATGTATGTGTATGGGCACGGCTGGGCAGCAGTGATAAAGAGAGGCGAGCTGGGGCGTCGGCGGGCGGCTATTGGCCAGGCGGGTGGCCCCGGTCTTTGGTAAATATAGGGAAGGAGGGGCGCTATGACGAATGTGGATGGGGCGACAGAGCGAGTGCAGGCGGCCATGAGCGATATGCGCCATCGCTCACACTCGTCGCTGCCCTCAGACTCACACACACCCACACACAGAGTGGCACACGGACGCACAGGCAGGCTAACGTCTGGATCCACTGGCGCCTGTCGAGTGGTGCAGTGCAGCGCACCCTGGCCGGCGTGCTGGGGGCAGAGGTGGTCCAAGCGGGCGCAGCAGCAGGGCGTGGGCCGTCTGTGGCCAGTCCAGGCGGGCGCGGTGGAGGCTAGGGGGTCCAACAAAGGCCGTCATGCAGCTACCGGGTGGGAGGGTGTGAATCATGGCGGCTGGCCGTCGGCTGTGGCCAAGGGCGAATCAGCTGGGCCGTCAGCAGGGCGAGGGTGACACACCACCAGCGGGGGCTCGACGCGACAAGTGCAGCAGCCTCGAGGGGCCCGCCTGCACTCTGCCGTGGCCGTCGTCGACTTGCGCTGCGCTGCTCGTCAGCCCGCAGCGAGGACACCTGTCGCCCTGCTCTTGCCCGCCACTGATTCGCCGCCTCCGCCCATCCATGGCCGCTATGCCCGCCGTCCCAAGCCTCGCTCGATAGTCGTCACGGCCCACCGCGCGGGCCCACTCGCCCTCCGAAAACGACCGCGCCGCGCCCCAGGCCCAAAGCACCCAAAGACTGAGAGATTGTCGCTATTCCGCTTGTGTTCTAGCGTCGTCTGGGCCCTCGGCGCCCATGTGCCAGAGCCCGGCCAGGCTGACGACGTCGACAAAAGCCGCGAGTGCGAGTGCACGGCCGGCGTTCGATAGTCTGCGCTGGCCCCCCCTCCCATGACGAATGCACGCCCGTCCAAACGACGATCTCGCAACGCTGCGGCACTGCGGCCTGCATCTTTGACTGTCATGCCGCCCGCAGGTCCTGCCCTTACCATGCCATGCCACACCAACAAGCCCTCGAAAGCAACCAGGCCCACTGCGGCCTCCAATCTCAATCTCGCTCCTGCCCTCGCGTTTCGGTTTCGAGTGGGTGGAGTGGCTGGCTTCCTGCCTCGCGCCCTCCCTCCACACGCCAGCAGCAACAGGGTCTGTCCCTCAATCTGCCATGCTCCTTCCCTCGCTGCTCGCTGCTCGCGCCCACTGCCCGTGTCCTGGCTCGCTCCTGCCCTCTGGCTCCGTGGCCACCAACGTGAACAGCCGCCTTCCCTGGGGCCCTGCTTGCCGCTGCCCGATCCAGCCCAGCGCCTGCCCGCGGTGACTCGTCGCCATTGGTCGCCTGCCCATATTGCCCTCTGTGCCAATGACTAACCGAACCGTTCGTTCCTGCTCCTGCCGTGGCGCTACGTCTACCAGAATTTTTCACCCTGTGTCCACCCTCAGCCAATCCCACCCGCCATCATTTCTGACTTTTGTGCCAATCACCGTCCTCCACCCTGTCCTGTGACCACTGCCCGTCACCGCCCACCACCGTCGCCGCCTCGTTGCTGTCCCAGTCACACCGGTCATTCGTCGTCGTCGTCTTGCCAGTCGCAGTCGTGGCGCATTGCGCAATATACCGGTCGCCAACTCGTCGTGATCCACGGCCACCCACTCGGCCTGTGAATCGTAACAGTACAGCTGGCCTTGCTTCCATGGCTGCTTCCACTTGCACTTCCACCGCCCACTCCTACTACTTACACACACACACACACACACACACACACACACACACACACCCTTCCACTCGTACCCGCTCGAATCCTAATAACGCTCTAGCATCCACCACCCCCCGTATCCATGTCTGCATACGAACCGTCAGAAGCTGCCATATCCGCCAGATTGCAAACCTTGTCTGCAAGCGAGACACCCGTGCAACCCACCTGCAGCTTCCAATTCTTTTTCCTTGCTTTCCGTCCTCATCCGTGCGTGGGCACAGACGCCAATCAGGTCCGGCTGGCTAAACCTACGAGAACGGGAGTCTGTGAGTCTGTGAGCAGAGACAATGGAGATCATCGATGAGCGAAATTGTTCCTTCGCACGCCGCTCCCACGGCGGCCACAATATCGTCGGCCCTCTCATCACATACTAGAGCCGTTCCCAAGGGCATGGCCGCGGGTGACGGCTGAGCCACAATGTATACGCGGTGCTAATCTGCCTGGCCTGCGCTAGCAATCTCTTCACACAGCAGCACATTACTTGCACAGTGCTAAGTACCACTCGACCACTTGCAGCCATGTGGTATGCCTCGTATGCATCCCCCCAATGCACCATTGTTCATCATCATCATCATCAGCATCTGCTCGTCATCTGCCTCTGCCTTTCACCCCCTCCCTTTCCATCCGCCCCCAAACTACTCTTCAGCCATGTGTGCGTGTGCCATCCATGCAAATGTCTGATTCGCATTCATGCACTCCTCCCTGCCATGTCTTCTCCGCAAAGCTTGAGCGTTTCAGTCGACTTGTCCAAAGTTACATATTCACCGCTAGATGGAGTCAAGCGAGCTGTCATTGGCCTAGCTCCGGTACCTACGTTTGACCTTCTTATCGATAGCTGCCCTTGGACAATAAGCCTGCCCCCTCCATGTCAACCTCCTAGCCTCCTCAAACTCTAACCGCGGCCGTGTGAGCAACAAAACATCCACTCCACCCTCTCGTCTGCATGGCATTGCTCTTGATGGCTGGTACATTCTGCGACGTGGCGCCTACCGGTCGACTGAGACCAGCCACCATGGCAATCTACTTGCTCCATCCGAGTAGAAACTAGACGGTCACCAGATACACTTGTAGATACGTGTCCAGCCTCATCTTACTACCCTTGCTGTGCTCTGGTTGGTCCTGCCTCATTGATTTGCCCAAAGGGTATTGTTGCTTTTACAAAAGAAAGGAGTTGTTTACACAGTCATTCAACCTCATGACTGACACGACAGGTCTCATGCTGTGACCTTTTGATCCTCACCTGCGAAACTAAACATGTTCATTTGGCCTCAACTACAGTGTCGATTCATGAGCAACATCCAACTGGCATCGTAAATTCTCCATTCCCATCTACTTGCTTAGCTCTGGCTTGGCTTGGCTCTTTATCAAACGTATACATACTAACTAGCTACTGCTCTCACCTCCCGTGTCTATCGATGGCATAACTGTCCAAGTGCTGCATGTCTATTATTATAAACATCTAAAAAAGACTACATATACCTGTCACACAGAGTGTAATGACGACCCTCGTCCTTGCCTTGCATTCGGCAATGCCGCCACCCAATGTGGCCGTGTTCTCTCGGTATAGCTTCAACTATTTACTAGGTCTACATTACAATAGCTATGCATCTCGTATTCTCGACAATAAAATAGTAGATTTGCATCGTACCAGGCCATACGGAATGCCGCTTACAGTCGGCCCGCAAACCTGTCAGATCAACCCTTAGTCATTCAGGCATTAACGTTTCGCCACTGCCATGGCTCGACCAAACTTCGTGGGGGCGTTCTGTGTTTACTTTTTTCTTTTACTACACAACTCATGCACTGCAGAAGGACTATCTGCATGGGTAGTCAGCTGTTCCGACACAGCAGGTTTGGCCGTTGTATCGCTCCATGCTTACTGTATCCATCTCTGTCTGACACTGTTTACTTACCATGGCATCGGCGCTAGTGGGGCATCTCTCGGACTGACTTGCGCGTCTTGAGCCATGATTGCCGCACACGGCTGAACAGTCACAAGAAATGTCATCATATCCGCCCGCCCGCCAAGTGATGCAGTACCCTGCACATCACTATATTTCTGATACACCTATACGGAGGTGCCTCACAAAAGTTCTGTCCCGCCAAGAATAATCTATCCGATGTACGGCCGCCTTAGCCGAGGCTTGTCTCTCCCCTCTATGTACTCGTTACCACCTTGTAGCTCAATTATCTTTTGAATATGCACAAGAATTCGCTCAATCCA